TCATTATTAAAAAGCAAACTATGGGGCCGGTGCTGTGGCGCAGTGGGTTAATGCCCTGGCCTGCTGTGCGGGCATCCCCATGGGCACCAGTTCGAGTCCCGGCTGCTCCACTTCTGATCCAGCTCTCTGCTATGGCCTGGGAAAGCAGTGGAAGATGACCCAAGTCCCTGGGCCCCTACACCCACGTGGGAGACCCGGAGGAGGCTCCTGGCTCCTGGCTTCGGATCGGTGCAGCTCCAGCCGTTGTGGCCAACTGGGGAGTGAACCATCGGATGGAAGACCTCCCTCTCTCTCTCTGCCTCTCTTGAATCTTAAAAAGCAAACTAAAAACAAGTGAACTCCATTCAACTTAACGAATGAGGAAAAGGATAAACTAAAGGAAACAGGACAACTACAGATTTGGAAAGGCAACATCAGCACCGCAGATGGGAGGAGACGAAAGGACTCATTAAACAGCACTGCGTACTGAGGAACGCGAGGCCTGCTCTACCAACGCCGGGCGCCAGGGACTCAGCACTGATACAGGGGAAGGCACTGGGCCCACTGAGTCCACAGGCTACCTTTCAACCCTATTTCACAGCCACATGCTACTCCATGTCTTACAATCTCTCTCAGGCATATAATAGCAGCATGAAAGCTGCACAGAAACCGTGTGCAGCCCACTCTGGGAAAGATCACCAGGTGCCAGGATGAATCCATCTGACAGTTGGAAAGTTACAGCAAGATGGGGCTGGCAGAGTGGGTAAAGCCACTGCCTGTGATGCTGGCATCCCATATAGGCACCGATTTGTGTCCTGGTTGCTTCATTTTCTTTTTTTTTTTTTTTTTCAAATATTTATGTATGTATGTATGTATTTAAAAGAGTTATATAGAGTAGAGGAGAGGCAGAGAGAGAGAGAGAGAGAGAGAGAGAGATCGATCGATCGGTCGGTCTTCCATCCTCTGGTTTAGTTCTCAGTTGGCAGCAATGGCCAGAGCTGTACTGATCCAAAGCTAGGAGCCAGGAGCTTCCTCAGTCTTTCGACGAGGGTGCAGGGGCTCAAGGACTTGGGCCATCTTCCACTGATTTCCCAGACCACAGCAGAGAGCTGGATTGGAAGTGGAGCAGCCAAGACTTGAGCTGGTGCCCATATGCTGGCACTGCAGGCGGCGACTTTACGTGCTATGCCACAGCACTGGCCCCTCTCCACTTTCAATTCAGCTCCCTGCTAATGGCCTGGGAAAGCACTGGAGAAAGGCTTAAATGTATGGGCCCCTGCACCCACATGGGAGACAGGATGAAGCTTCTGGCTCCTGGCTTCAGCCTGGCACAGCCCTGGCCATTACAGCCATCTAGGGAGTGACCCAGTGCATGGGAGATCTTTCTCTCCCTTTCCCTCTCCCTGTCTCTCCCACTCTCTCTCTATTTCTTTCTTAAATCTTTTTTTTTTTTTTTTTGACAGGCAGAGTTACAGAGTGAGAGAGAGACAGAGAGAAAGGTCTTTCTTCCGTTGGTTCACCCCCAAAATGACCGCCATGGACAGCGCGCTGTGCTGATCCGAAGCCAGGAGCCAGGCGCTTCCTCCTGGTCTCCCATGTGGGTGCAGGCCCAAGCACTTGGGCCATCCTCCACTGCACTCCCTGGGCCACAGCAGAGAGCTGGCCTGGAAGAGGAGCAACCGGGACAGAATCCGGTGCCCTGACCGGGACTAGAACCTGGTGTGCCGGCGCCGCAGGTGGTGGATTAGCCTAGTGAGCTGCAGCGCCAGCCTCTTTCTTAAATCTTAAAAAAAAAAGGGGGGGGGAGGGGGCGGCACTGTGGTGTAGAGGGTAAAGCCGTTGCCTGCAGTGCTGGCAATCCCATATGGGTGCCAGTTCGAGTCCCAGCTGCTCCACTTCCAATCCAGCTCTCTGCTATGGCCTGGGAAAGTGATAGAGGATGGCCCAAGGCCTTGGGCCACTGCACCCACATGGGAGACCTGGAAAAAGCTCCTGGCTCCTGGTTTCGGATAGGCACAGCTCCAGCCATTGCGGCCAATTGGGGAGTAAACCAGCGGATGGAAGACCTCTCTCTCTCCCTCTGCCTCTCCTTCTCTCTCTGTAACTCTGACTTCCAAATAAATAAATAAATCTTAACAAAAAAAAAAAAAAGATACAGCAATACAAAGAGGAAAACATCCCAACAGCTCCCTGTCATAAATACTGAAGCAGGGGCTAGCGCTGTGGCCTAGCAGGCTAAACCGCCGCCTGCAGTACTGGCATCCCATCTGGGTGCCGGTTCCAGTCCCGGCTGCTCCTCTTCTGATCCAGCTCTCTGTTATGGCCTGGGCAAGCAGCAGAAGATGGCTCAAGTCCTTGGGCCCCTGCACCCTCATGGGAGACCTGGAGGAGGCTCCTGATTGGCGCAGCTCCGAACGTTGTAGACCAACTGGGGAGTGAATCAGCAGATGAAAGACCTCTCTCTTTCTCTCTGCCTCTCCTCTGTGTAACTCTTTCAAATAAATAAATAAATATTTAAAACAAAAACACTGAAGCAAAAATTCAGAAGAAAACTGCTAACCCGAAGCAGGCAGTATATAAAAGTTAGTATGCAGGTCGGCACCGCAGCTCACTAGGCTAATTCTCTGCCTGCGGTGCCGGCACACCAGGTTCTAGTCCCGGTCGGGGACCGGATTCTGTCCCGGTTGCTCCTCTTCCAGTCCAGCTCTCTGCTGTGGCCCAGGAAGGCAGCGGAGGATGGCCCAAGTGCTTGGCCCTGCACCCACATGGGAGACCAGGAGGAAGCGCCTGGCTCCTGGCTTCGGGTTGGTGCAGCGCGCTGTCCATGGTGGCCATTTGGGGGTGAACCAATGGAAAAGGAAGACCTTTCTCTCTGTCTCTCTCTCACTGTCTAATTCTGCCTGCCAAAAAAAAAAAAAAAAAGTTAGCATGCATGCTATGACAGTAAGGCAGTTTAAAACCGGAATCAAACACTGCAATCCTAACATTAACGTGCTAAGGAGAAAGCCCTACAACATGTGACAAAACCAGCATGACGGGCGGGAGCCCCTAGCCAGGCTGTAAGACTCACATGCGGGGTGTGAGCCATTGGGCAAGACCAATGCCAGCAACATGAGCCCCCTCTACCTGACATGCTGAAGCCACTTACTAAAAATGGAGAAAAAATAAATACATAAAAATGGGAGGACACAGGAACGCCTGCCAGTGCCTCTGTTACCCTTAGTCCTGGCTGGTGGTGGAGCGAAATTAACCCAACAAGTAGCACTGGCTCACACAGCACAAGAGAAAGATAAGATCTGATTAGAAATGACAAGACTGTACAGGCAGATGCTAGTACAGAAAAAAAAAAAAACCTCACTAAGATTAATAAGAAAACTCGGTAAGGCGATGGCATAATACTCAAAATCCAATAAATAGCTTTTCATGAGATTAGAAAGCGCCAACTAGAAGTAGAAATGGAAAAAGTATTACCCAGTTGCAAGAGTGACAAAAACTAAAGTACTTAGGGATAAAATTAAGGGAAAAGTAGAGATTTACAGAAAGTAAAAAAAAAAAAATATCTTATATAAGTAAGAAAATAAAACCCAGAACCATGGAGGAGCTATACCACCCACCAAAATAGGCAAAGGGTATCATAGTCAATCTTCCCCAAATTAACACGTAACTTTAACGTAATTCCCATCAATTCCTGCTTTTTCTGAACTGGATGAAATCATGCTTGCTTCTACACGAGTGTTAATGTCTTGCAGCAGCCAACAAAGAGCTGTCAGACAGGATTAGGGAGGGGAGGTGGGGGCCACCGGGCCATACCTTGTGCTGTTCTCCGAGGGGCACTGCCCACAAGGCACGCAGGAGCCTGTGCAGACTCCTCGGGAGGTCCGCTCTGGCCTGCACCGGGTCTTGCCAGCCCAGGCTGAGCACAGAGCAGGCCGGGCACATGTCAGACGCGCCCCTGTCAAACCAAGCTCTGGCTCTCGGGCTGCGGTGAGCGTGAAGGCTCTGGAACAGTTACACAAAACTTCTTCCGAGCCACTCATCCAAACTGTCTGTCTCTGGGCCGGCTGAGGGTACTGCTGGGAGCAGTCCCGGGCAGGTCTTGCTGTGACAGCGGGCTCGTTGGTGGTGACTGGTGTGCTCAGCGTGCTAATGAGTGAGCCAATGGCACCAGAGAGGTACCGACTATCTGGGAGCAGAAGTGGGCGAGCATGCCTGGTACCTACCATAAGCCAACAACAAGCTCGCCACAGGCAGGGAGCCTGGGTTTCCAGGAAAGTCATCCATGACCCCACTGTCCCCCACTGCCCACGTCCCCACTAAGCTCCAGCCAGGGGCAGGCTCTGGGGTCACAGCTCTGCCAAGACAGACCTCCTGCTCTCGCCGAAGCCCGATACGCTCTTCATGCAGCTTTCTTACTTCAGTAAATAAAAGGGTTTCCAAGACTCACAACTGACTGTAAGCTCCTTGTTCTATCTTCCTCTGTAACAGGGGCCGGACACCCAGAGGGAGAGGGGCACATGCCACTGGGGAAGGTTCAAAGCTGCACACGAGCCGTCACAAGGGGAAGTCACAAAGTGCTGTGGCAGCTACATCCCAGCTTCTCAAACCTAAGAACTAAGAGGCTCTCCTGAGTTCTTCCAATTACTTGTGGCAAACCCCTTCTGAACCGCTGGGGCCCTGAGACAAAACAAGAGAGGTACTGAAAAGAAAAAAAATTACAATGAATAGGAGGAGATTTTAAGTTCTTCCTGTTTTCATAGCACGTTACACCCATAAAACATTAGTTATCAGATTTTTATCTTAAGTAGCTCTGACATTTAAAATGTTAGTTGAGTAAATAAATTGATTTATTTTTTAGCCATTCCACCTAAAAAAAAAAAAAAAAAAAGCCAAAAAGCCTCACACAGAAGAAAAGACAATCCTACAAAACACACACAGCACGGGCTTAAGAAGCTAGCAGGCCGGAACACGGCCCCTCCATCCACACAGCCAAGTCTGACTTCTGGAAGGCAAGTGGCAATTACCTTTCAAAGACGGCAGTTTCTGAAGTTCCCTGTTATTGCTGGCACTGAACCGGGAGGAGTTCTGCCGCTTGTCTTTCTTCACTATGGGCTGCAGGACCGGCACCTTGATCTTGGTAGACACCGTAGGCGGGACAGCAACAAGGCTGTTTTTCCTGCTGCTGGGAATCAGCTTCCGAAACAAAAACAGAAGAGTACGTGAGCTGGGGGATTTGAGGCCCAGAGAGAAAGCAGTCTCCTCCGCCTGACCCGGGCCGGCACGCCTCGAGGTGCCGCACGGCATGGCTTACATCCCCCCCTCTTAGAACCATGCGACGTCGGCTTTCAGCTCCACAGACGTACCTAGTCCCACGTCTCCCTCCAACCTCGGATTCCTAAACTTTCGCCACCCAGGCCGATGCGGGCGGCTGAAGGATGGGTCCCCCGCCTCCCGGGGGTTCGCGGGGCTTGTGAGTCTGTGACCTTAACTTGACGAGAGGGACTCTGTGGGTGTGAGTGAGTGAAGGCTCCTGAGAGGTGCAGGTGGTCCTGATGGGGCAGGATGTCCCCAGACAGGGGCTCAGGAGATGCGGGCGGCCAGACGAGAGCAGACCACAGGACAAGCAGACAGGCAGGGCGACACGGCGACACTGGCCGTGGGCCAGCGGGAGCAGGTGGTGTCAGATGCTGGGAGCCTCTAGGCCTCCAGGCGGCACACAACTCTGCCCTGGGACCCCACTTTTGGCTCCAGCTCAGACTTCTGACAAGTTCGTGTTCTTCCTGTAGGCTGCTAAGTTTGTGAAAACTGGCAAACACAGGTGAGCGCCTCATAACCTACAGGTCTGCCCTGCCTCTCACCACTCGGGCGAGGTGAGCAGGCACCTCCCCCTGAGGGCCAGGAGATGCTCTTCTTCTAGCTGCTCTCCTTGCATTCACCCCTGGCTCCTGGTCCACCTGTCCATCTCCAAGCTGCATCACAACAATCAGGATGGCCCGACTGCCCACGGCCCCGTGGAACACTCCAGCATGGGGCGACAGTCGAGGGGTCACACAGTACAGCCTCCAGGGGCCCCTTCCCCTGCCACCCACACAGGCCCAGGGAGACCCTGTGGAGTCCAGCCAGGCCCTGCCCCTCACCCTAACAATGGTTTCCTGCCTGCACTGCCCAGCAGTGCTGGTCACCAGTAGCACTGGCAAGCGCCAGCTGTCAAGTGGAGAGGGCAGAGGCTAGAGGCCACCCTGCCATGCAGCGCTCACTGAGCAGTGAGGAGCTGCCGTGTGACAGGGGCTCGAGAACACTCGGCCAGAGCGCCTGGGACGGCAGGAGAATGCTGCGTGGGACCAGAGTCCAGAACCACTTCCCTCCCAGGCTGCAGCTTCTTCCTCAAAACACGCTCTGTGGGCCCGATCTCGACGCCTGTCATTCTTTCCATCTGACCGGGGAGCTCGGGTCTTTCTTCCTCAAAAACCCCATCCACAACGCATCCCCGCCATGGAAATCCCCCCAGTTGAAGCTCCTCCACTGCGCATTCCCTGGAGGCCCCTAGAAGACCCCAGGGCTCTCTCTCCCGTCGGTCGGGCTGCTTTCAGCCCTAAGTCATACGTATTCGCACACCTGACCCCTGGTCACAGTCTGTCTCCTTTTCATCCTCCTCTAACGCGGAACACACGACGGCCTTGGTCACAATCAGGCAGAGGTGGACGGAAGCAGCCTGGCTCTCAGCAGCAAGGTGGACGTCTAGGATGTGACCCTCGACCCTGCACGGTCTGACCCACCTCACAGGTGCCCGCGGCCCCTGAGGAAACGTCTCCGGCGTCCGAGAACGAAGACGCGCCTGCCCCGCCTCCCTCCAAGGCGTTCCCCTAGCAGTGCGCAGTGGCCTTCCAGAAAAGAAAGCCTGGTCCCTGCCCCACGCTAACTCATGATGGCCCCGCTCCCTCCTGCTCCACCAGACCTCACCCCACACTGGCACAAGGGCTGCTCTGCTCTCCCTCTCGAGGGGGCCTGAGCGGTGCTCCCGGCCAACTCCTGGTCTGCCCTGCTATGGGTGTCCCAGGCTCGGGCACCCATCAGTGGTGGGACAGACATCTTTCTCCCTGACGAGGGCCAGCAGCTCCCGGAGGCACCACAGTCCGGGGAGAGCGTCTCTGAGGAAGGGAGCCGGGGAGGCAGGCAGGGGGCTGCTCCAAGGCCGGAGGCCGCAAGTGCTGTGCCGTGCCTGTGGAGCAGCGGGCAGAGCCAGTGAGTCCAGGCCAACAGCTCCGAGCTCCTCTTGAGGGCTCTGGCAGCCCAGTGAGGTGGTGACAGCAGCGACAAGGACACATCACCCAGCCTCAGGAGTGGCCCGCAGATGGGGGCTGGTCCTCAGAGGGCCCATCCGGCAGCCTGAACAAGACACAAGGATGCCAGCTTAGACCAGGACTTGGTGGGTAGTTGTGGACAAGGGGACACCAGGAGTGGATGTGTGGGGAGGAGGGAGCAGAGGGCATCAGAGAGAGGGACAGAGGGGGACTGGAGGAAGCCCAAGTACGTGCCTGTCGATCTGACGTCCAGCGTGGTGACGCAACCTGTACAAGCCCAGTCTGGGTCGAGTCCGCATGCTTAGCAAATGGAGGAGGGGCCGGGCTCCTCTCCTCCCTGCTTTCTTGGTTTCTTTCTGCCCCACCCTGCCCACCCTGCCCACCCTGCCCCAGAAATGTGGCACGGATGGCCTTCCTCACCTCCTGTCTCCAGGGGCACCCAGGACACCCCCGTCGGAGCAGGACAGGACTCCGGAGTCCATGGTATCGAAATGGTGACTGAAGCTACAGGAGTGAACCAGGCTGCCTGGCAGGGACGAGGGAGAGAGGAGACAGCACTGTCCTGCGTGGGCAGCAGGCGCGGGTGGGGGTGCCCTCCTGGAGGCCAAACCACCACCGGCTCCAGCGGCAGAGAGGTCCCGGCTGGGGAGGTCGGCCGCGCGGAGCAGCAGCCCCAGGAGCTGGCGGGCCTGTGCAGGAAGCAGGCAGATCCCGGATCCACAACGCTTTCTAAAACTGTGGGTGGGAGTAGGCTTTTCAGCCTCTCACTCAAGACGCCCACAACCCACATCAGAGTGCCTGGGGTGGAGTCTCAGGTCTGGCTCCTGATTCCAGCTTCCTCTAACGTCACCCTGGGAGGCTGCGGGGATGGTCAAGTGCCTGGGTCCCTGGCCCCCCTGTGGGAGAGCATGACGAGCCCAGCACATCTGCTTGTCTGACAGCCCTGAGCTGAGCCATCTGACAGCTTTGTGTGTATCTGTGTGAAAAAGAGATCTGCAGGGGCCAGCATCGGCAGCAGATTCAGCAGCACTGGCATCCCACACAGGCACCGGTTCAAGTCCTGGCTGCTCCACTTCCAACGCAGCTCTCTGCTAATGTGCCTGGGAAAGCAGCAGATGATGGCCCAAGTGCACGGTCCCCGGCCACCTACATGAGAAGCCAGGATGGAGTTCCAGGCTCCTGGCTTCCCCAGGGTATTGCAGCCATTTAGGGAGTAAACTAGCAGACGGAAGAGCAATCAATCAATTTCTCTCTCTCTCCTGTAATTTTGCCTTTGAAACAAACAAAATAAATTGTAAAACAATAAAGAAAAGAAAGACGAAGTCTGCCAAGAATCACCCTGATGGAAGGCTGCAGGCCTGGGGACAGCAGGAAGGCCAGCAGGGTCACCAGGCGGAGGACAGAGGAAGCTGCCCGGACCACCGGCAGCATGAGCAGACGCTCCTACTCAGCACCCGACACGGCTGCCCACAGCCAGCACTCACACAGATCTCCCACTCCCGCCACCCCGAGTCCTCTGATAGGGGAGTGACGGCCATGGCCCCGTCCTGGGTGCCCGTGGAGTGGAGGGGGGCAGGGCCAGGGCGGAACGCGGTGGGCAGCTGCCTCCCACCCTCGGAGGGCTTCCATGGTGTCACAGCGCTCTTGGTTTAGTGCTCAGAAGGAGTGATGCTGCAGGCTCGAGCCTCACGGGGTCCACGGCCTTCAACTCCAGGTGGATCCCACTCCTCCTCCCTACGTCCAACAAGCAGGCAACCCCAGTCGCCGGTCTCCCAAGCTTGTCCCCGTCTACAATTTATAATGGATGGACCAAATGGTCACCGCTGCCGTGGCAGAGACGACGTGACACCCCGTGACACAGAAATAAGTGCTGCCGTCTCCAAGCCCAGCTTCCACCTGACCAGGTCTCGGGGTCTGACCGCCAGTTTCCAGAAAGTACAAGGACAGGGGGCCTGTGGACCACCCAGGGACGCCATCTGCAAACCTGGGCTGCGGGGGCAGCTGCAGGTTTCTGTGCCGCAGCCCCATGGACGGACTTCTGCGGGGCCACCCTGTGCGCTGCGAGGCGTTTACGGCCTCCTGGCCTCTGCCTACAAGAGGCTGGCAGCACCCACCCTCGAGATGGGAAAACCGGAAGCCTCTGCAGACACTGTCAGAGCTCACGCGCCCTTCGAAGGCGTGTGAATACCCTGATTTCCTTAACAGCTAAAGTGCAAGGGGAAAAAGACAGACAGGCCCTATGCCGATGATGGGAAATCCAGGACACACAGCCACGAACGCAGGACCTGGCCCTTAGCTATCAACCCGCCAGCTGAAGAACGGGGTGGGCATCCGAGAACGGACCATGACTGGCGCGTGCTCGCGGCAAGGAGCACTAAACCTCTCGCAGGTGTGGCACCAGTGTTTTGGCTCTGCTTGGGGTCCCCTGCTCAAAGATATCCCAATTCGAGATTTATGAACAAAGCACGATGGCTGAGTTTGCTTCAAACCCACCCAGTGTGAGGAGGGAGCGGGGGCGAAGGCGGGTGGACGCTGACGTCCGCAGGGCTGGGCGACGGGGCCTGGGCCCACCGTGCACTCCCCAGGTCGCGACTTGCAGGAAACTTTCGTGCCGCGCCCCTGCCGTCAGAGCCGCCGTCTTCCGGTAGCCATGCCAGTCAAAAGCTGCCCTGGGCGCCCGTGATGCTCACGTGTGTCTTCGTGACGCTCAACACACACACGCTCCGGTGCGCTGCAGTTCCGCTGCTTCTCTGGGGCAGTGCTGTGTCTCCTCTTCCCCGTGTGTTCCTGTCACAATACTGAGAGAGACAGGCACGCGTGGTGTCGTCTGCGACTCTCTCCCACCGGGGGACGCACAGGCAGTGTGGCCTGGGGGAGGAACTCGTCCACTGAGTGGTGTCCCTCCACATGGACGGGTCAGCACCTGCTCTCCCCTCAGTAGTAGGTCTGCTCCGTGTTCCCGTGTGTCACCTGTGTGCTCCCATGTCACCTGCGTGTCTCCGTGTTATCACCTGTGTGTTCCCGTGTCACCTGCGTGTCTCCGTGTTATCACCTGTGTGTTCCCGTGTCACCTGCGTGTCTCCGTGTTATCACCTGTGTGTTCCCGTGTCACCTGCGTGTCTCCGTGTTATCACCTGTGTGTCCCTGTGTCACCTGCGTGTCTCTGTGTTATCACCTGTGTGTTCCTATGTCACCTGCGTATCTCCGTGTTATCACCTGTGTGTTCCCGTGTCACCGGCATGTCTGTGTTATCACCTGTGTGTTCCTATGTCACCTGCGTGTCTCTGTGTTATCACCTGTGTGCTCCCGTGTCACCTGCATGTCTCTGTGTTATCACCTGTGTGTTCCCGTGTCACCTGCGTGTCTCCGTGTTATCACCTGTGTGTTCCCGTGTCACCGGCATGTCTGTGTTATCACCAGTGTGTTCCCGTGTCACCTGCATGTCTGTGTTATCACCTGTGTGTTCCCATGTCACCTGCGTGTCTCCGTGTTATCACCTGTGTGTTCCTGTGTCACACACGCTCTGGTTTAACCCCATCACCTCTAGACTAAAAGGCAACATCTCTCATCCTTCCCCCACCGTGTTTTCACGCCGCTGTCAGACCTACCTCTCTATACCTGCAACAGACTGCTCCCCTCCTCAGAAGCCCTCTGCGGCTCCCTACTGCCCGAGCGTGTCTCCGTGGCCGGCCACTGTCCCTCGGACGCCAGTTCCTCGACCAGCAGCAGCACCCCAGGTGCGCCGGCTGCATCCTGTGCGATGCCTGCTGCTTTGACCTGAACGCCTTCTTCCCCTTCACCCCACCCCAGGACCCTGCAGGCCCGGCCCGGACGCCAATGCCACTTCCCACCCTCCCCACTCACGCGGTCACCGGGACACGGCCACTCCACGCTCGGAAGGCGTCTCCCAGGTGCCGACCTCACCCCTGAGTGCTGCTGCCTCCACGGGGCAGGGGCTGCCTCACCTCCCGCTCTGTGCTTGAGAGCAGGCCACGGTCCCTGAATCTCCACGCCGCGGGCCACCTGGCCCGTGACAAACCCGAGCTCTGTGTGTCTCTTCAGAGCTTTGAACCAAGTGCACTTTGACCAGAACAGTGTGGCGCTGCAGTCAGGGTAAGCAGCCTGATCAGTGGAACACGCATTCGGGGGGGGGGGGGGGGGGGCTTGGTAAACACTATATTGGGGGAACCCCGGGCCACAGTGCGATCAGACCCTCACCATACCACACACAAAGTGCGGCGGACACCTGGACATGAGACCTAAAACCAAAAAACTCTTTTCTGACCTTGGGTCTGACCATGGGTTCCTAGCCATGACTCCAAAAGCACGACTGAAGAAAAAACAGATAAACTGGACTTCGCAAATTTAAAAATTTTCATGCATCAAAAGACACTATCAAGAAAGTGAAAAAAAAAAAAAAAAAAGACCCATGAAAAGGGAAAAACAGCTTCTCTTCCAATTTATCTCCCTGCTCTGGCCTGGGAAAGCAGCGGAAGATGGCCCAAGTGCTTGGGTCCCTGCACCTGCATGGGGGACCCAGAAGAAGCTCCCGGCTCCTGGCTCTGGATCAGCCCAGCTCCGGTGATTTGGGGAGTGAACCAGTGGAAGGAGTACCTTTCTCTCTGTCTGCAACCCTCTCAAAATAAATAAATAAAATCTTTAATTAAAAAAATAAAATAAACGGAAAACAAGTGCGAGTCAGGGTGTGGAGCAGTGGCAGCCCTGGCGGAAGGCTGGCGGAAGGCTGGCGGGGACGTAAAATGAGGCAGCTACTGTGGAAGTCTGGAGGTTCTTCGGGAAGTTAAACATCAAACTGCCGCGTGGGCCAGCAATCCCACTCCCAGGGTAACCCGAAGAACTGGGCAGGCGTCCAAACCAAAACGTGTGCATGGAAGTCCACAGCAACCAGAAGACAGAAGCAACCCACACGTCCGTTAGCTCAGGACACAAACTGTGGTCAACCAAATGACGGAGCATCACTGAGCCACGAGACGGTATGAAGTTCTGATACCTGCTACAGCATCTAAGGGCCTTGAAAACGTCTTGTGCCGTGGGGGAAGCCAAGCAGAAAAGGCCACCGTGACAGTTCCACTTATAGGAGCAGATCCAGAGAGAGAGCAGGGTGGCGGCCGCCAGGGCTGGGGTCGGAGAGACGGAGACTGCCTCACGGGCCCAGGCCTTCCTTTCGGGGCGAGGGAAGTGTTCTGACAGCAGACGGTGCCGCTGGCTGCGCTGCCCCGACCCCTCTCGATTCTTCCAGGCTTACTGTTAGAAACAGCACAGGCACCTCGAGTGCCAAAGTCGGGTGGGACTCGGGAGGGTCCACTGGTCTTGGGCACAGAGAAGGCACCGACGCTGGCTGAGCCCTCAGTGAGACGGCAGGAGTGCTTCCTGAGTCAGGGGTTTAGCAAGAAATAACAGCTCAGCTCAGCATCTTCCTCAGAACGACAGGAAATCCTCACGGAGGAGGAGGACGCTGTGCAGCCACCTAGTGAGGGTGAAACCTGAAAAGGTGAAGTTTGTCCATCGCTGTCCCTCTCCGGCCTGGAGGCTCTGGGGAACTTTGCTTTCGCTCACTGAGGCGAGAGAGACCCCAGAGGTACTTCAGCTTCCTTACGCGTCGCTAATCACAGGAGCCCGTGCAGCAAGTTCAGTACAGCTCGTCACACACACACCAGGACAGCCGCCCCTTCCCTTCGCAGGCGCTGCCGAGAGCTGGTGGCTCCGCAGAGCGCCGAGTGGGCACTGGGTTTCTGGGTAACATGGGCAGCCCAGCAATGACCTGAGGCGCCACAGGAGCAGCTGCTGGCCGGTCCTCGCCTGCCCTACCGGGCTCTTTACTCAGAGACACTGGCCGCAGGGAAGGGGGCTACGCAGGGCCCAGGACTCGGCAGGCACTGGCAAGGAGGGCCTCAGGAAAGCACAGGTGAAGGCGCCAGTCCACGTGGTGAGCCGAGGGGGCCGCCCAGGCAGGCTCCCAACCCCAGGCCGAGGATCAGGGTCCCAGCCAGGGCAGCTGAGCCCCTGTTCCCAGCCTGACAGGTGCGTGGAGGTGCAGAGGTCTGCTTGCCGCAGGGCACGAAGGCCTCTCCTCCAGTCTTCTCCAGCCTCCAACACACAAGGGCTGCACCTCTAACACAGAAGGAACAAGGTGCTAGAGGCTTCCCTGACCCTTGGGAAAACGTGCCACCACGCAGCTTCTGACATGAGCCACGTCACCTCTGGATGTCCAAGTGCCTGCTGGGCACTGCCCCTCCACAGCTTCCTGTGCCGCCAGGCACCAGCAGCCCTACAAACATGGGAGGCATGCTGGTCCATGCTGCCTACAAGTGTCTCTACTTTGAAATATTTCATTCAGTTGGGTCGATGATGTGGCGTAGTGGGCCAAGTATCCACTTGTGGCACCAGCATCCCATTGGGTGCTGGTTCACATCCCGGCTGCTCCTCTTCCCAATCCAGCTCTCTGCTGTGGCCTGGGAAAGCAGCTGACGATGGCCCAAGTCCTTGGGCCCCTGCACCCACGTGGGAGACCCAGAAGAAGCGCCTGGCTCCCAGCTTTGGATCAGCCCAGCTCTGGCCGTTATGGCCATTTGTGGGGGGAGGGGGGACCAGCAGGTGGAAAACCTCTCTCTTTAACTCTGCTTCTCAAATAAATACATAAAACTTAAAAAAAAAAAAAAAAGAACTATTTTGCTCAGTCAGTCACTCTGGACGTCTCACCATGTAAGGGCTTAGCACACTGAACACACATCTCCTTCCCTTCACCCGGACGCCACGATCCCCCAAACTCACAACCTGGCAGGAGTCGGGCAGGCAAGCACTGTGCTCTCCATAGCTTCGAGAGTGTGTCAAGTCCTGCCAAAGCACAAGCAGTGCTGGTCTCAGGTTAAGGGTTCAAGGGCAGACACCCCCAGGGTGGCAGCCGTCAGTCCTGTCGCAGCATTTCTCTGAGCACTGACCCTGATGTGGACTCCACCAGGCAGAGCTGGGGAGCTACAGCCTCTGGCTGCATCTGGGCCGCGCCCGTTCTGCTGTCAGGTTTGACTGGAACACAGCCAGGCCTGTTTGCTTGCCTACTGTCTACCGCGGCTCTCTGGCTACAGCAGCAGAGCTGAGTGGTTGTGACAGAAACCAAATGCTCCCCAGGCCTGGAGTATCTTCCACCTGACCCTGGCAGAAAGCTCGGCTGACCCCTGGGCCAGGCCAATGATTCCTGCTGAGAGGCAGACAGAAGGCAGAGCAGGACAGACTGCCCCATCAAGGCTATCAGGAAGCCACATTTATCAGCAGGCCTCCGGAGCCCCCCTCACCAGTGACAGTGAAGGGAGCTACCGCCTCCAGCAGCAGGAGGTTCAGGTCAGCATGTGGAGTCACGGGTGCACCCCACGACAAGAGCACTGTGCAGATGCACAAGGGACAAGGCAGGTGACCTCCCACAGAGTCCCCCGGAAACCAAGGCCCGGACACTGGGTGCAGGAGAGGGCGGGAGAGAGCCATGGGGCTGAAGGGAGGACGGTAATTTCTGTCTGAACACTGACCTGCCCAAAGCCACCACACCCCCCTGCAGATCACCGGAGAACTGGGTGTCCATCAGAGCCAACAAAGGTGTTCTCCCGAGAAACCCAACTGTCTGGGAAAAGCCAAGGCCGCCGTACAGCAGCAGCCGCCCCGCAAAGCAAAGCTCTCTGCAATCCGCCTTTAGGCACCAAACGGCATGGAGCCAGTTCCCGGCTAAGGTGGTTTTTTTTTTTTTTTTAATTAAAAAAAAATTATTTATTTTCATTTTATTTGAAAGTCAAAGAGTTAGAGACAGGCAGAGCTCTTTCCTCTGCTGGCTCCCTCTTCAAAATGTCCAGAACAGCCAGCACTGGGCCCAGCTGAAGTCAGGAGCCCTGAACCCAATCCGATCTCCCATGTTGGTGGCAGGGACCCACGTACGTGAGCCGTCACCTGCTGCCTCTGAGGGTGCACGTGGCAGGAAGCTGCACTGGAAGTGGAACCGCCAGGACTTGAACCAGCACTCTGATGTGGGATGCAAGCACCCCGAGCGCAAACGCCCACCCCACCAGCGGAGGCTTTTAAACCAAGGTCAGTACCGGCTCACTGCCGGCTGTGCTGGCGCCTCAGCCTCGCCTGTGTGAGTGAAGACGGCAATCTGAGAAAAGGCGCGGTCCTCAGGCTGGTCTCCCCGGCAACGCCCACGAGCTCTCTACCCTCAGATCAGCTCCTTCCCGCTCAGCCCCTGCCCCCAAAGCTCCCATCCCACTCAGAATGCAAACCCCAAAGCCCCACTGATGGTTGCTTACAAGACCCTACCCCACCTCTCACGTCACCTCCCCACTCTCCCACCCCCTTCTCACAGCCGACTGCACTGGCAGCCACATCCGGCTCCTCCTGCCTCAGCCCTCCGCAGCGGCTGCTGTCCCTGGCAGGAACGGCTCCTCGCAGACGTTCAGGGCTCACCTCTAACCTCACGCCCTCGCTGAGACCTCCCCAGGAGCCCCCAGAGTCCAGCAGAGCGGCTGCCAGAGGCGGCCAGCCCCACCAGGGGTGCCTGGCAGTACTGGCGGTCACTGGGGCCCCTGCTCTGCAAACACGTGCGATGCTGTCCCCGTGTCACCAGCCCTCTTGCTGCAGTGGGGCTGCCCCCAGGACCCAGCTCTCACGCCTTCACTGAAGGCACTCCACGCAGGCACTCCGTTCTGTTCAGTGCTAGGCACCCAGCACCCGTGACCGTGCCCAGGACATGGGGGGATCTCGATGGACCTGATGGATCCCCTGCAGGACAG